CCTACGAAGCCCTGAAAGGGGTTGCCAACAGTGCCTGGCACTGTCAGCGGTGTATCAGCTGATTCCGTTGCCAACACTCAACTCCCCACTGCTTTGCCTGAGATTTGATGATTTCGAGTTGGATGAATTGGTATTTGTGAGAGTTTGCCACACGAACTTCCATGTTGTCTCATCTGTGGAGGTGTTGGACAGGCTATCTGAGCCAGACTGCCACGTTGTTTGGGCTGTGGCTTGCATTGTCTGATAGCCTTGCATTTCGAAAGCAGTGTTCTATGCACTGTCTTGACACAGATTTGATAAGAGTGCTGCAAAAGACCACGTCGCATCAAACTTCCTACTGGACAGAGCTGAGAACAGGGGATAATTTGAAAAAGTAGACGAGAGTCTGCACAAGACATGTGATGTGGAAGGCTGCACTAGTAATAGCTACGTTACGTCTGACTTGTAGTTCCGGTGCAGCACCGGTCCCGCCTATTTTAAGGGATTTTTCTCACTGCAATTGAGAGCACGGCTCAATTGCTCATGCACAGTCGCTGTCCGATCGGGCTTGTGTATGGTTTGTTTGAATACATAGCACTTCTTTGGAATTTATGGTCCTTAAGTCATTCGTAGTCGTTGTTCCTCCCCGATTTATGTATATCACATCGAATATATTCTTTGAATTTCTCCTGCGAATTACGCGTTTTTTACGTACTTTTTACGCTTTTTACGCCTTTTCTTCTCCTCTTTTCCTTTCCAATGAAAGTGTCAAGCTTTTTTTACGCATTTTTTTACGCACTTTTTACGCTTTTTACGCCTTTTCTTCTCCCTTTTTCCTTTCCAATGAAAGTGTCAAGCTTTTTTTACGCATTTTTTACGCTTTTCACGCTTTTTACGCCTTTTCTTCTCCTTTTTTCCTTTCCAATGAAACTGTCAAGCTTTTTTTACGCATTTTTTACGTACTTTTTACGCTTTTTACGCCTTTTCTTCTCCTTTTTTCCTTTCCAATGAAAGTGTCAAGCTTTTTTTACGCATTTTTTACGTACTTTTCACGCTTTTTACGCCTTTTCTTCTCCTTTTTTCCTTTCCAATGAAAGTGTCAAGCTTTTTTTACGCATTTTTTACGCACTTTTTACGCTTTTTACGCCTTTTCTTCTCCTTTTTTCCTTTCCAATGAAACTGTCAAGCTTTTATTTACGCATTTTTTACGCACTTTTTACGCTTTTTACGCTTTCTTCTCCTTTTTTCCTTTCCAATGAAACTGTCAAGCTTTTTTTACGCATTTTTTACGCTTTTCCTTTCCAATGAAAGTGTCAAGTTTTTTTCACGGTTTTTTTACGCACTTTTTACGCTTTTTACGCCTTTTCTTCTCCTTTTTTCCTTTCCAATGAAACTGTCAAGCTTTTTTTTTTACGCATTTTTTACGCACTTTTTACGCCTTTTCTTCTCCTTTTTTCCTTTCCAATGAACTGTCCAGTTTTTTTGCATTTTTTACGTCCTTTTTACGGTTTTTACGCCTTTTCTTTTCCTTTTTTCCTTTCCACTGAAAGTGTTCAGAGTGTTTTTACGGATTTTTTACGCACTTTTTACGCTTTTTACGCCTTTTCTTCTCCTTTTTTCCTTTCCAATGAACTGTCCAGTTTTTTTGCATTTTTTACGTCCTTTTTACGGTTTTTACGCCTTTTCTTTTCCTTTTTTCCTTTCCACTGAAAGTGTTCAGAATGTTTTTAAGTATATCACATCGAATATATTCTTTGAATTTCTCCTGCGAATTACGCGTTTTTTACGTACTTTTTACGCTTTTTACGCCTTTTCTTCTCCTTTTTTCCTTTCCAATGAAACTGTCAAGCTTTTATTTACGCATTTTTTACGCACTTTTTACGCTTTTTACGCCTTTTCTTCTCCCTTTTTCCTTTCCAATGAAACTGTCAAGCTTTTTTTACGCCTTTTTCACGCACTTTTTACGCTTTTTACGCTTTTCCTGTCCAATGAAAGTGTCAAGCTTTTTTTACGCATTTTTTACGTACTTTTTACGCTTTTTACGCCTTTTCTTCTCCTTTTTTCCTTTCCAATGAAATTGTCAAGCTTTTTTTATGTTTTTTTCACGCTTTTCACGCTTTTTACGCCTTTTCTTCTCTTCTCCTTTTTTCCTTTCCAATGAAAGTGTCAAGCTTTTTTTTACACATTTTTTACGCACTTTTTACGCTTTTTACGCCCTTTCTTCTCTTTTTTCCTTTCCAATGAAAGTGTCAAGCTTTTTTTACGCATTTTTTACGCACTTTTTACGCTTTTTACGCCTTTTCTTCTCCTTTTTTCCTTTCCAATGAAACTGTCAAGCTTTTATTTACGCATTTTTTACGCACTTTTTACGCTTTTTACGCCTTTTCTTCTCGCTTTTTCCTTTCCAATGAAACTGTCAAGCTTTTTTTACGCATTTTTTACGCACTTTTTACGCTTTCTACGCTTTTCCTTTCCAATGAAAGCGTCAAGCTTTTTTTACGCATTTTTTACGCACTTTTTACGCTTTTTACGCCTTTTCTTCTCCTTTTTTCCTTTCCAATGAAAGTGTCAAGCTTTTTTTACGCATTTTTTACGCTTTTCACGCTTTTTACGCCTTTTCTTCTCCTTTTTTCCTTTCCAATGAAACTGTCAAGCTTTTTTTACGCATTTTTTACGCACTTTTTACGCTTTTTACGCTTTTCCTTTCCAATGAAAGTGTGAAGCTTTTTTTACGCATTTTTTACGTCCTTTTTACGGTTTTTACGCCTTTTCTTTTCCTTTTTTCCTTTCCACTGAAAGTGTTCAGAGTGTTTTTACGGATTTTTTACGCACTTTTTACGCTTTTTACGCCTTTTCTTCTCCTTTTTTCCTTTCCAATGAAACTGTCAAGCTTTTATTTACGCATTTTTTACGCAACTTTTTCCGCTTTTTACGCTTTCTTCTACTTTTTCCCTTCGCAATGAAACTGTCAAGTTTTTTTTACGCATTTTTTTTTTACGCTTTTTACGCTTTTCCTTTTCCTTCCAATGAAAGTGTCAAGCTTTTTTTTACGTTTTTTTTACGCACTTTTTACGCTTTTTACGCCTTTTCTTCTCCTTTTTTCCTTTCCATTGAAACTGTCAAGCTTTTTTTTACGCATTTTTTACGCACTTTTTACGCTTTTTACGCCTTTTCTTCTCCTTTTTTCCTTTCCAATGAACTGTCCAGTTTTTTTGCATTTTTTACGTCCTTTTTACGGTTTTTACGCCTTTTCTTTTCCTTTTTTCCTTTCCACTGAAAGTGTTCAGAATGTTTTTACGGATTTTTTACGCACTTTTTACGCTTTTTACGCCTTTTCTTCTCCTTTTTTCCTTTCCAATGAAACTGTCAAGCTTTTATTTACGCATTTTTTACGCGCTTTTTACGCTTTTTACGCCTTTTCTTCTCCCTTTTTCCTTTCCAATGAAACTGTCAAGCTTTTTTTACGCATTTTTTACGCACTTTTTACGCTTTTTACGCTTTTCCTTTCCAATGAAAGTGTCAAGCTTTTTTTACGCATTTTTTACGTACTTTTTACGCTTTTTACGCCTTTTCTTCTCCTTTTTTCCTTTCCAATGAAAGTGTCAAGCTTTTTTTACGCATTTTTTACGCTTTTCACGCTTTTTACGCCTTTTCTTCTCCTTTTTTCCTTTCCAATGAAAGTGTCAAGCTTTTTTTTTACGCATTTTTTACGCACTTTTTACGCTTTTTACGCCCTTTCTTCTCTTTTTTCCTTTCCAATGAAACTGTCAAGCTTTTTTTACGCATTTTTTACGCACTTTTTACGCTTTTTTACGCCCTTTCTTATCCTTTGCAGATGTGACATTTGCGGATGTGACACCGGAGCGGAGCCAAAAAGAGGAAAGAGTTCGCAGATGTGACAGTGGCGGCGAGACGGGAGCCAAAAGACTGTGGCACCACTATAGGTATGTTGGAGGTGAGAGAGTCCCCACTGCCGGCATGCAATCATGGGAAATCTACATTTGTCAATTACGATGCTTTGCAAGTTCGATCCAACATTTTCTCATCGTGCGGATGGAATTTGGCTCCAAAGATCCAGAAGGGATCAGACCGACATGCCGAATGCTCAGGATCGATGGATCATAGAGCCACAGCCACAACAATGAATCTGGATTGAACACCCAATTCGCCCTCAGACATTCAATTTGAGGCCAGCCATTGAGATACATGATGATAATCTCCAGATAGACCTGACGATGGCCTCGCCGCATGACGTGACTGAAGAGGAGATAGTTTTTTTTGATGGAACTCACCATTCGTTTTTCCATGCATATATGAAGAGGTTATTTCTTGAGCCACAAACGTTCACAGACGTGTGAGGAAAAGAACGCCTTTGAGAAGGCATCTTCGGCTACAGCTCTGCCGGAAAACTACATCCCGGTTCCAGTTCCACCAGATGGGAGGCCGCTGCCATGCCACTGGATTCATTGATGGAATCATCCGTAGTACTTACAAGTAGAAGTTTCCAGGTTTACGAAATGTAGCGCTATAGGGACCAAAAAAAAAGTTTTGACAATAGGAGCTGGGGCAGTCCTCCATCATCTGTCCGGAACTTTTGAGCTCTTGTGTCATATTTTGGCACCGTTCTTCGACTTTCCTTTCATCTCTTTCTTCTCATCTCAACTCCCTTCAACTCGTGTTGACTCACTGCATCTGATTTGCACCTGTCCAATTTCTTCTCAGCCCAGTTGAAGTGATTTGGTTGCAAACTTTCTTGAAAGTGTTTCACCTCTGCAGGCGTCTCTACTCTTCGTTGTTTCTTGCATGTGCCCAAGATCCATCGGAGAGGAACGCATGGAAAGGTGAGAAGCAGGAGTTTAATCCTCGGGAATTGATGGGGTGTGATTGATTGTTCTTCCAGGGGTTTTTCATCAAACCTGAACGTACATGAGCAGGAGTTTACATCTGGGGAATTGACAGCTTGAAAGATTTGCATGTGTTTCTCCAACCGACATACACAGCCCTCATTCTTTCCTTCGCAGGACACTCGTGAGGTAGTCACTTGGGCAGAAGGCTTGCAGCTTGGGGCCGCTGCCAGGGAGAGGTTGGTGACTGGCAAGATTAGCGAGCCGGAAGATTTGGTGGCTTTGCTGCAATTAGACAATTCATTATGGTATCTTGGAATCTTACTCCACCTTTTGTCAAGGCAAGCTCTCCTGCTGTTTGGACACATGGGAAAGGTGTTTCCAGTCAGTTTGGAGCTGTTTTTTCGCTTAGGCGGAAGTTGCCAAATCCCTGGAAATCAACCTGCTCATCTTCAGCACTCCAACGGTGCCACAAGCTCAATCGGTTCCAAGTTACAGGGTTCCACCTGTGGAGGTTCCTGGACCTGAAATCTTTCTCTGGGCGCACAAAGTGAAAGACGGTGAAGGGAAGGAAAGTCCGCACTATGTGCCTCTCCTCCTGGCACAGAGTGCCATGCCCGCGCAAGGAGGTGGGGGACAGACCAGCTTGCGGCGCTTCATCTTGCCAGTTCGTTTTGGCCAGGACTTACACAAGAAGGGTATCAACTTGGAGATCAAATTGCACGTGAGATCAAGGTGGGCAAGCGAGAAGACACCGTGAGAATGCACGTGTAGAATCTTTCTTGCTTTCGGCATCCATGAGTCTTGGTGATCGCTTGTTCATCAGTCACGCTTTGATTTTCAATCGTGAAACGAAGCGAGCAGTTGGCATTCAGTCTTGCCTGTCCACCAGGAAGTGCCGGCCGCGCAGCCAGATGTTCAGGCGTCAGTTTTCAATCCAATCAAGTCCAATCCAGTGGCACTTTGATTTGCAATGTTAAAATTCCAGAGATTCAGCGCTGTGCTTGCAACATTTTCATATTGACCGGAGGCAGATGGTGCAAGGTCTCCCACCACGGAAAATTCTACGCCTGGTCTGCTGGGAACTTAGTCCGGATGCCATGTGCATTGGCGCGGGGTCTTGCGAAAACACTTGAGCATGGGTCCATGCAGGAAAGGAAAAAGAGTCAGAAACGACCTGCGGAAGCAAAGGACCCTATGTCTTTGGAGCTTTGCTGCCTTTTGAGTCGTGACGTGTATGTTTCCTCCGCTTTTCTGCTTGTCATTTTTTTTTGTTGCCTTGTTTCCCTTCTCTGACCCATCTGAAGGCAAAATTGGCTATCAATTTGTTTTGTTGCCTTTTTATGGTTGTTCGATGTTCTTTGTTTTACATATAGGAGGATGGCAAGAGGCAGAAGAGGGCAACGGGAGAGCAGGCCATTGCCCTTGCAAGTGGTGGTGTCCTATCTTTTTTCCGATCGAAATCAAGGTCTCCAAAGGCCCATGAGGACAAGCCATTCCTGCAGGTGTTTTTTCTGGAGAACCCAGACTTCAACCAGACGGATCCGGGAGAAATCCTCCAAAAGCTGTTAGGCCGCGTTTGTTCCACACTTTTTTTGTGGATGGCTTCTGGGAATGCTCAGCAGGCTCGCCTGGCGACTGTGATTGCCACACTTTGCACACCTTGAAGGCCAGAATAATTTCCGGGTCGTTTCTGTGGAACTTCTCATCAGCGTTCTGCATGAACTCTCCTTCTGCATTTGGCTGTAAAAGCGTTTCATCTCTGCAGGTCCCGCAACTGCGTGAACTGATGGTTCGAATTTGCGGATGGCAGCGTGGGAACAAGCGGGATCTCATCAAGCATATTTGGTCAAAGGCTGGACTCAGCCAACCATATCCTGCAGCAATGCAGTATGTTGATTTTCTCTTTTCGTTGGATTCTCTGGAGGTCACGGAGAGGGCAAATATCAATTCCGGAGAGCCTTTGCGAGAGGCTTGGATTTAATCGATTTGCATTCTGCTTCATGTGGCAGCCCAGATTATTTTGACCAATTCTTGGCAGGTGGAGATTTCCGAGGACTGCAGCTGATCGGCAACTTCTTGTCGTGCAAGTCATCTGCGTAAGCACCGAGCAGTGTGTTTTTTTGGTGAGGACCTCCTGCCAGCCGAGAAAAAGCGGAAAGCTTTGAAATGTCGCCTCTGCGGCGAGACGTCTGAGCAGAAGGAGTGGCACCGGGTCAAGTATGTTGGCCGCAAGGGCAGCGGCGAGACGGTCCCTGACGGGCGGAGATGCCAGCAATGCTGGCTAGCAGCTGCTCGGATTGAACAAATTTTAGATTTGATAAGAGTGCTGCAAAAGACCACGTCGCATCAAACTTCCTACTGGACAGAGCTGAGAACAGGGGATAATTTGAAAAAGTAGACGAGAGTCTGCACAAGACATGTGATGTGGAAGGCTGCACTAGTAATAGCTACGTTACGTCTGACTTGTAGTTCCGGTGCAGCACCGGTCCCGCCTATTTTAAGGGATTTTTCTCACTGCAATTGAGAGCACGTAACAATTGCTTATGCACAGTCGCTGTCCGATCGGGCTTGTGTATATGGTTTGTTTGAATACATAGCACTTCTTTGGAATTTATGGTCATTAAGATCCTTAAGTCATTCGTAGTCGTTTTCATTCACGATTTATGTATATCACATCGAATTTCTCCTTTAAATTTCTCCTGTGAATTACGCATTTTTTACGTACTTTTTACGCTTTTTACGCCCTTTCTTCTCTTTTTTCCTTTCCAATGAAAGTGTCAAGCTTTTTTTACGCATTTTTTACGTACTTTTTACGCTTTTTACGCCTTTCTTCTCTTTTTTCCTTTCCAATGAAAGTGTCAAGCTTTTTTTACGCATTTTTTACGTACTTTTTACGCTTTTTACGCCCTTTCTTCTCTTTTTTCCTTTCCAATGAAAGTGTCAAGCTTTTTTTACGCATTTTTTACGTACTTTTTACGCTTTTTACGCTTTCTTCTCTTTTTTCCTTTCCAATGAAAGTGTCAAGCTTTTTTTACGCATTTTTTACGTACTTTTTACGCTTTTTACGCTTTTCGCTTTTTACTCCTTTTTTCCTTTCCAATGAAAGTGTCAAGCTTTTTTTACGCATTTTTTACGTACTTTTTACGCTTTTTACGCCCTTTCTTCTCCTTTTTTCCTTTCCAATGAAAGTGTCAAGCTTTTTTTACGCATTTTTTACGTACTTTTTACGCTTTTTACGCCCTTTCTTTTCCTTTTTTTCTTTCCAATGAAAGTGTCAAGCTTTTTTTACGCATTTTTTACGTACTTTTTACGCTTTTTACGCCCTTTCTTCTCCTTTTTTCCTTTCCAATGAAAGTGTCAAGCTATGTCAAGCTTTTTTTACGCATTTTTTACGTACTTTTTACGTTTTTTACGCCCTTTTCTTCTCCTTTTTTCCTTTCCAATGAAAGTGTCAAGCTTTTTTTACGCATTTTTTACGTACTTTTTACGCTTTTTACGCCCTTTCTTCTCCTTTTTTCCTTTCCAATGAAAGTGTCAAGCTTTTTTTACGCATTTTTTACGTACTTTTTACGCTTTTTACGCCCTTTCTTATCCTTTTTTCCTTTCCAATGAAAGTGTCAAGCTTTTTTTACGCATTTTTTACGTACTTTTTACGCAGTTTACGCCCTTTCTTCTCCTTTTTTTCCTTGCCAATGAAAGTGTCAAGCTTTTTTTACGCATTTTTTACGTACTTTTTACGCTTTTTACGCCCTTTCTTCTCCTTTTTTCCTTGCCAATGAAAGTGTCAAGCTTTTTTTACGCATTTTTTACGTACTTTTTACGCTTTGTACGCCTTTTCTTCTTTTTTTTCCTTTCCAATGAAAATGTCAAGCTTTTTTTACGCATTTTTTACGTACTTTTTACGCTTTTTACGCCCTTTCTTCTCTTTTTTCCTTTCCAATGAAAGTGTCAAGCTTTTTTTACGCATTTTTTACGTACTTTTTACGCTGTTTACGCCCTTTCTTATCCTTTTTTCCTTTCCAATGAAAGTGTCAAGCTGTTTTTATTTTTACCCACCTGCCAGGTGAGGGTTGTTAGATTTTATGTCAGTTGCTTCCTCCTCGTCCTCCTCCTCCTCCTCGTCCTCCTCCTCCTCCTCGTCCTCCTCTCCTCCTCTCCTCCTCTCCTCTCCTCTCCTCGTCTCCTCTCCTCTCCGCCCCTCGACGCACAGTGTTCTCTGTCGGACGTCAACCACGACCATCCATTCCAGTGTTCCCTGCCGGACCTCAACCACGACCATCTCCGCCCAGTGTTCCCTGTCGGACCTCAACCACGACCATCCACGCTCAGTGTTCCCTGCACCTGCCGGACCTCAACCACGACCATCCACGCCCAGTGTTCCCTGCCGGACCTCAACCGCGAGTATCCACGCCAAGTGTTCCCTGCCGGACCTCATGTAGGAAGATATGGGACAAAGAATGTGCAGAAGAAAGTTAGAAAGAATGTCAGAAAGAATGTCAGAAGATATGCCAGAAGATATGCCAGATAGAATGCCAAATAGAATGCCAGATAGAATGCCAGATAGAATGCCAAATAGAATGTCAGAAGATTTGCCAGTAAGAAAATGTATAAATGTCATGGTGGGGATCACACGAAGTAAAGTAATTTTTTTCCCACGTTCTTCCCCCTTGTTTTATGCTTGAGCTTCAGTTATTTGTTCCGGCCATTGCACCAGATCATTTCCGGCTGACCAAACGCGGCTGTCAGGTTGTAGCTTTTGTCTCGACCCTCAAAGATGAGCAGGGGTCGTTGCCAAAGCTGCTGCAAGACTGTGGCTGCAGTGATGAGTCGTCTGTTTGGAACAAAGTGGACAAGGAGCGATGATTCGCCATGCTAGTCGTACAGAGCCTGATATTCAATAGCCTGCCGTTGTGAACAGGACAGACGCTTCAAGCAGGGCATGATTTCCTACCTGAACCGAACCGATTCCCTCGGTCACGCTGTCGAAGTGCTTGAGCATGGAGAAGCAGAAGTGGCACGGGAACGCTCCACGGCCATACAGTGGCAAGGGAGCATATGGGATGTTTGGGACAAGGCAGCCTTGCTCCAAGCCGCATGAAGGGTACGGTTCACCATTCAGATCAAAATTGCCTCCATTGAATCAGAACCGCGAGGCCAAGTAACCACAAACGAAAGTATGTCAATAAATTTGCATCAATCAGTCGTGTGTCTGACAGCATGGAACCATGCGTGACAATCGTGACACAAGCACGTGTTTTGCCCGGAGGCGACATATGTTCAACAGCATGGAGCTTGCCGTGAGGGGCCTGAAGTTGTGCCAGTCGAGATGAATGGCAGAAGTTTCGTTCTGCGATATGCCACCGAGTTCAACAAGCCGTTGCTTCATTGCAGAAAACGGAAAACTGACTAATCGCTTGCGTTGCTACTGAGAAGTGAAGGTGTTCTTTAAATCACAACTAATCACTAAACATTCATGTGACTCATGTGACCACCCTGAGCCACACGTTGCTCCCCATCAAGAATGAGTGTCAAAGTATGCTGGACGATCGTTGAGATCTCCTTTGTCGTGCCCGGATCCAAATTTGATAACCTCTGAGATGTCCGCCGCGTTCTCATGGACGGTTGAACCAATCCAAAAAAATCACTGCGAGATTCACCGAGGTTGATGGCCCTGGGCAGATTCCAGGATATCAATTCGATGTTACTTCGCTACAGGAAGTCGAGCCAGGGGAAAGAATTGTCAGAAGCACTGTGGAA